AAAATTAGGGAGTATTTATTTGATCTCAGAAACAAGTAGTTTAGGTGAATAAACATCTTGACTCCTCCTTCTGAATAAATGAATAACATAATAAATGAACAAATGTTTGAAGATGGACTAAATAGCTCAAATTCAACTAAGAAGCAATGGAGCTCACCAAATGAGGATGGATAGTTTGAAGTTACTAGAATAAACAGACAATAACACAGTCCTAACTGGTCTTCACAAGGAAGGTCTTTGTTCTTTCAAACAAAGTAAAGAGGAAATCTTCTCTCAACCTGCTTCTCACTGTGTTGAGATACAAAAGGGAGAATAAACTAGGTCACTTCAGGAAGATGGGGGCTGGGCATGGTGGCACTCACCTATAATCCTAGTATTCAGGAGGCTGAGGCAAGAGGATTGCTGCTAGTACCAGGCCAGCCTGAACTAAGTAGTGAGACCCCGTATCCGAAGAAGAAGATGCAGCACCAGACTCACATTCTGTGTGTGTGTGGTGCTGAACACTGGGCAAGGCTTTCTATTGCAGAGCAAGAGCACTGCGTTCTGTCCTCTTGCTTTGTCCCTCATGGAGATAGGGGCTGACAGGTTCCCACATTAACACAGTGGGGGGAATCATGTAGACTGAGTCAGTTGTTCACAAAAATCTGGCTTCTTGCCCAGCTTTTGCAAATAACTGAGGTTGGGAAGCAGAGACTAACTTGTGGTAGGGATAGTGAGGTATTCACGTCACCTGGCTTCCTGTTGTGGCTCTGTTACCTGCTAGCTGGACCTTGGAGAAAGTTATTTGTTTCCACTCATCTCAATTTATTCAAGGTAAATTGCCAAAAATTATACCTACCTTTCCTACAGGGTGATGCCCAAGGGAGAAAAGGGAAAGTACTTAGAAAACAACAAAGCCTTAAAGAAATGGCCAGGTGTTCTCTATTTTTCTCTGAGCCAACTGGGTCTGAAACTTCTTACTCTGCTGCATCGTAACGTTTCTCTAATGCTTGCGCCTTTGGGCCAACAAAGCCTTAGTTTCATCCAAGTACCAACTAGTCTGGGTCTCTTCCTACCCTGTGAACATGGCATCCCTTCCACACTTAACTGTCCTTTAAGGTTAAACTCGAGACCCACTTGATGAAATGTTCCTCATTTCCAGCCCACAAGCACATCGCTTCTTCTTTCAGCTGTACCAATCATTTGGGGTTCTTTTGTGTCTGTAACTCCCGTGGAGTTCACGGCTACATCGTGTATATGTCTTTTGCTCATAGTTCATTTTGTTCTGACAAACCTTCAGGTATACTTTCTATGTTAGAAGACTGTGGCCAAGAGGTTTAAGAAAAACAAATTAAGCTTGGGGGTTTTTCTCTTGGAGAACTCAGTCTTACAGGGAGAGAAACATAAACAGGTGATAATAAAGCACTATATAGAATAGAAATATGTTCAAGGTACTTACAAGAAGGAAATGATTAACTCTATCTGAGAGATTCCATGAAGCTTTACAACATCTCCTTATCTTGTACAACCAAGTTCCTGACAAACAATAGGCTGATTAATTTTGCTGAAGAGATGAAAAAATGAATCAATGGTCAGGGACAGCTGAGTATTTTTAAACACAGATTGGAATTTAGCAGTGTTGCAGAGGAACACAGATAAAGGAGATGATGCATGTGAAGACATGGAAATATTAAATAAATATCATGGTGTCTTAGGGATCTCCTATAGGCATGGAGAAAGACCAAAGAAGCTTGTCAAACAAGATAGAGCCAAGATTTAAAGGGCCCCTGGATGTTAGGATAGAAAGTTGAGACAGGTTGATTATTTTAAAATAATGTTAGAATGAGGCCAGAGAGATAGCTCAGTAGAAAAGCACTTGCCTGGCAAGTGCAAGGACCTGAGTTCAATTCCCCGTTCCGAAAAAAAAATGTTAAAATAAACTAGGGTGAGGATGGGGAATCAATGCTTGTAGAGGTAAAGTCCAGAGCAAATATGACGTCCTCAACAAAAGTTGACCTTATTATCATTTCCCAGCAGTCCTGATTGATGTTATTCAGACCCTGTTGTAAATTGGTTCTATACCATCAATACTAGATTCGGTTATCTATATATTAAGGTTAAAGTCTCTCTTTTATACCTTAGCTTACCTAGACAATAGGCCTATGAGAAAGACAATTCCCTGCCCTGTTAACCATTGGAAAATTGCTTGCTCACACAGTAAGCAGTGGCTACACAAATATTTGAAATGCGATCTCTTTAGTTGCCAAATGCGCACTCTTTTCTGCTGCAACTTCCTACCCTAAATATGTTTGATTTCATTTTTCAGTATGGTGGGCAATTTAGTGTTAGAATTGATGGAAAATGATAATATTTAGGCCTAAAATAAAGGTAAAACTGAGCCAATTTCCTAGAAGATAATATCATTATTTATTAAATAAGATGCATAAACAGACCTCTTGGACTGCAATGAGAGAACTGTGTCATATTCTTATCTACAAAGGACACTAAACTAAAGATATTCATATTATCCATACAAATTTGGCCAAAGGAAGAAAATCAAGAATGTTTTCTTTGACCATCTGTCTTGGACACTGGGGCCCCCTCAATGCACCCCTAGGATTCTCACCCCAGTCCCACCACCCTCAAACCCTTTTTATGTCAGCGGGTCCCCACTCACTACATTGGTTTCAAAAGCTATCTTGCAATATGCTATGCTGGCCCCGGGGTGTGCTGAGATGGCAATTGAGATTGGAGGTGGTAGCACACACCCGTAATCCCAGAGCTTAGAGGGCTAAAAATAGGAGGATCACTACTAGTCCGATCTGTGTAGTGAGACCCTGTCGGCCCTGTAATAAATAATTTTTTTTTAAATAAAAGCCATTTT